AAAAAAAAAAAAAAAAGGAAAAAAACATGAAGTTACAGCTTAGCAAATAGTGCCTCGTGAAAGAAGAAAAAGACATAGGCTAAGAGATTAGAGCAGTCTAAATTACAAAGCACAATAAGAACTCCCCGGAATAACATATGAACACCAGAAATCTATAAGATATGATATAACTCTAAAGATTATATCTTTCCTTAAAAAAAACCAAATGAAACCACACAAAACCACACAGAAGAAGGTGCTGGTGCCATTGTAAATTACACAGCATAGCCAAGGGGATTTCTATGGCTTTCAGTCACCATCAAGCATGCAAATTCAGTTTTAAATCACTCCAACGGAGAGGGCAAAAAAAAAACGAAAAGAAAAGAAAATTCTGTACGGTTAGATTACGAGATGCAGAAGTATAATTTTACTAATTGCAGCACTAAAAATTGAGAATGTAACCATAAGAAAGATAGCAGCCTTGCAAACTCCTTCAATAATTCTTACGAAGGAACATTTCCACAGCCTACAAGCTTTCTAACATATAATATAGGGTACAGGACGTCCACTGGAGTGGTGGAAGCGAAGGACAAAGCCCAATGCTTTTGGCCTACCATAATAAAGATCAAAACAGAAATGAAAGGCCTGTCAGGTAGCAATCTCCTAAAGAATTCATTCAATTGCCAAAGGGTTAACTGTTAAGCTTTGTACAATATATAGAATCATGAAGATATTGAAAACAGAATCGGATTAGCTCGGCGTTAGTTCTTAAAAGACAAGTTCAAATGGAAAATGAGTTACATGAGAAAACTAATACAAACAAAAACTTATGACAATTTACTCAAAGCACAAGTACACTAAGCAAGTATTACCAAAGAACACAAAACAAAAATATAAAATCTTGAACAGCATAAGAAAATCTACCTGCTCTGAAAGGTAAAGGCGCTGCTTGTTCCTGTAAGTTCCTTTGTCAAGAATCGGTCCCCAACTATAACCACAATATACAACCATAATAGATACAAGTACACAGGTCAATAATTGAAGTAGCCCAACAGTTCTCCAAAATAAATATTATAGAATTACAATAATCTACCAAAAACAATTCAAATGTAAAGCAAAATTATTTCTACAGCATTATGCAAATCACTATACAGCAGCCATAAAGATGCAAATGACCACAAGTTGCAAGACTGAAACACAAACAAAATAAGTAAATCACAAATTCTAGTGTGAGTCAGCCTAACCATTAGGCGAGGTAAAGTAAGACATTTTGAAAAAAAAAAAATGTTTGTGTTTATTCTGTATGTGAATATTTTTAGAGTATGTCAGGCTTAACATAAGAACTGGCAATGGGGTAATAAAGAAGAATAAATTCCAAAATCTTAGATATTTATTTAAAAAAAAAAAAAATTGAGACTCAAGCTCTAATGTAACCCCTCAAGTGACAAGACAGTAACACATACAGTTCCACAGATTTTTTCATCGCCGTACCAAATTAGACAGACCTAAATTTGCAAGTATGTCCTCTGAGCTTAAACTACGCCATCCTCGAACTCACATAGAAACCCTAACAAAACCCACACAGAAAAGGCAAAACTAGAAAAAGGAAAAGGGAAAACGAAGAAAGCGACCGAGCTGTACCGGCAAGACAGAGACGGCCAGACCAGGTTGTGAGAAGCTATCCAGTCGTAAAGCACGGGAACCAGTTGTTTCCAGTGAGCGTAGCTCTCGTCTGCGGCGGTGTTCCTCTTCTCGCCGCCGGAACCTCTCATTCTCGAAGGCACTCCTCCGCCGCTGGATTCTTTGTCCTTGTCGGATCTGGACTTGGATGTCGTCGATCCCTTCGGTCTCCCGCGCCTTCTCGGCTCGGTAGGTGGTGGGGTCGTCTCCATTTTCGTCTCCCTTTTGGTTTGCTGTATTGTACTCTCTCTTTTCCCCCCTCTTTTTCACTTTCGAGTTTGTTTTATTTTTTCTGTGAGCTGGTGAGGATTTTTGACGGAGCAGATAGACTTGGAAGATGACGGCATCTAAGCCTCGTTTGTACATATTAACATGTGTTCGTCGTGGGTATGAGAATATTAACCCGTTAATTTAATATATATCGTCTTTTACGTAATTATTGTGATTTTTTACCACATATATCAACTATTTAACTATCAGTCTCGAATCGTTTATAACTCTCTTTAATCAAATGCTCGAAAAGTTCATTTTTTTGGCATACCAAATTGGCATCTGTCCGGAAAAAATGCGTCAATTAGCACATGTCAAACTTAGAGTGTGTTTAGTAAGCACGATACACTAGCTTACAGTTTATTTGATTAGTTTACAAGTTTTTGGTGTATAAATATGTTTTGTTTGGTATGACGAAATTTCTTAAAATTGTATTCTTTGAGTAGCTTTTCGAATAAGCTCGTTGGAATTTTTATTTCATTTGGCTTATCAACTATAATCTTTAAATTCACTTATAAACTAACTTCGCAAAAATATCAGGACCATATAGTCAAGACGAATCCAAAGATGAGCCAACCGACGTTAACAATGTTGATTGACACCGAAATTAGGCTGAACAAAAATAGGGAACTTCATCCCGCTTTTCATGATAATTGTACTTCAATATAATGTTTTTTTGCGAACAAACTTTGGTTCATCAATTTTAGAAGTTTTTTTTTTTTTTCTTTCACAAGTTTCTTTCATTTTATCAAATTCTGGTTTGTTTGTTTGATTTTTTTTTTTTAACGATATAAACAAATAGATATAGGCTAAATAATAAATCAGTCATTAAATTTTTTTTGGGCTCTTTATTTAAAGGGGATGGTTAACCCATATATTTATTTAAAGAGGATTTCTAAAATGTTAATTGGACAAATAACCCTCACATTAAGTAATGGTAAATAAAAATGTAAAATACCTAAAATGACCTTTTGTTAAAAAAAAGAAAAAAAAAAAAGAAAAGCTGAAGATATGTAACGTCCAGCGGACGCAAGATCGAACGGAATTTTTTTTTCAATTCTTGTCATCTCTCTTTCTTCTTCTCTTCATTTTGTAAGAAATTGACATCATTTTGAATTTTATAAGTCAAAAGAAATGTGTTGATTGTAGATGAAAAAAAATCCCACCAAGGTATTTTCTTGAAGAACAAGAAAAGTGGAAAGAAATTTTTGTAGTAGGGTTTCTTGTTATTTTAATTATAAAATCATTTTAGTTCATATTTATGATTAATAAACATTTTTGTTTCATGTTAACAATGTTTATGTTGTGCCAATAATTTTTTTTTTCATTCATTTTGTTGATTAATAAAGGAACAATTGTGCAGTTATTCTAGGTGGCTGATAATGATTGTATATTTGTTATATGTTTAATATTTTGTAAGGAATGCAATTTTGTGGTGTGATTGTTTTATAACGATTCTGCAGTTGTTTTATCTTGAAAGGAATGCAAATATGTGTGATTGTTTTGTTGTGAATGTTTTATAACGAACTTAGATTTGTTTTATACAAGTGTATGTTTGTTAGTTTCATTTCTTAATATGATATAACGAATTTAGATTGATTATGCCTTACGAAATGTAGATGCATTATGTCATATGAGAAGACATATATTTATATTGTCGAAGTAACAAATAATTTTTTCTTGTAGATATTGATTTTAACGAAGATGGTGTGGATACACGTATGCTACTATGTTGATTTTAAAAAGAATGTAGATGGCACTTGGACGTGGGGATATGTGAAGGAAGATGAAGAAAATGTAATTCCTCTTTATGTTCCCGACGACATATCTTTTCTTGGAGCTTGAAGATGTGGTCATGAAGCTTATAAAGTTCAATAGCACTTCCCATGTAATGGAAATGCTATCACTCAATCCAAGAATGAACAAATTTCCAGTTCCCCCAGTGAAGATCGATTGTGATGTGAATGTGAAATGGTATCTATCTGTTTGTGACGAACATCCTCTTTGTGTACGACTTGTTGCAAAACCTGTTGAGGAAGAAAGGAACAATCAGAATTGTGAGGTCATTGAAACACTTACGTGGGATAAAGAAACTCACGAGGGACTGGAAGGTCATCGAGATAGTTTGATTGATATTGGAGATAGTCCGACTGAAAATCTTGTTGAGGGAGAAACCAACAATCACAATTCCGATTTTATTGAAACACTGACGTGGGATAGCCAAATTCACGATCGGGTGGAAGGCCAATGGGACCGTATGTTGGAGATTCGAGATAGTCCGATCCAAGAAAATGTTGAAGTTGAAGTGGAAGATCAAAGCGGAACTGTTGTGCTGACAGAAGATGCTCGTCAGAATTTTTCAACCGAAGATTATGGTGTCCTTGCAAATGCAAGTCATTCTATCCCAACCAAAAAAGATTTAGTAGATAAACTCTTGGGATTGGCTGTGAGGTTTCAGTTTGAATTTAGAGTGATAAAATCAACAAAGACTTTGTACGTTGTTCCTTGTATTGAGAGTAACTGTCCTTGGCGTTTGAGAGCCGTGAAGATAAAAAATGGTGAGATTTTTGAAGTGCGTAAGTATGTTGGAGATCACACTTGCTCTATGAGTGTGCGTACGAAAGATCACAAGCATGCAACGTACAAGCTTATTGGGAAGTACATTTCCGGAAAGTACAAAGACTCCAATCGGATTTATAAGCCGAAGGACATTATTTTTGATGTGAAAGAGAAGTTCGGGATAAGTATCAGCTACACGAAAGCATTTATGGCGAAGCATTACGGATGTAGTCTGATTCGAGGTTGTCTAGAAGGAAGTTACACAAAGCTCCCACAATATTGTTACATTTTGGAGCAAAAAAACCCGGGGACGGTCACCTTCATTGAAACAAGTGTCGAAGGTCATTTCAAGTACTTTTTCATGGCTTTAGGGCCGTGCATTCGTGGATTCCGCTCTTGTATCAGAAAAGTAGTATCTGTGGATGGGACATTCCTGACGGGAAGATATCGTGGAACTTTGCTCATTGCAACATGTCAGGATGCAAACGGTCAAATTTATCCACTCGTTTGGGCAATAGTAGACTCCGAGAACATGCTTTCTTGGACATTCTTCTTTGAAAAGTTGAAAGACATAACAGGTGATTCTTCTGATCTTGTTATAGTTTCGGATAGGGGAACAAGTATTCCGGGTGCTTTTGAAAAAGTGTTTGAACATGCACATCACGGACATTGTAACTACCACTTGTTGAGAAACATAAAATCCGAGTTTCCAAGGTTGGAATTGGATGCATTGTTTTGGGCAACAGCCGAAGCATACACGATACGCCATTTCGAAGACAACATGGCAGCATTGTGCAGTAAGCACCCGAAACTCCGGAAATACCTAGAGGATGCTAGTTTGCACCGGTGGGCTCGAGCACATTTCAGAGCAACTCGTTTCAACATAATGACAACAAATAATGCGGAATCCTTAAACTCTGTGTTGAAGCGTGCTCGAGAATTTCCAATCCTTGGCCTGATTGAACATATAAGGGCGACACTGCAAAAGTGGTTCCACGAAAGACACCTTAGTTCTACAAAATGTAGTAGCGTTCTTACACCACCATTTGAGGAGAAGATGCATAGCAGATACGACGAGTCGAACGGACTAGATGTGGTCCATGTAACTCAGACGATTCTGCAAGTTGGTGGAAGGCATATAGTTAATCTCGAGGAACGGTTATGCACATGTCGAAAGTTTGAAATGGACATGTTTCCATGTGCACATGCCATTGCCGCAATAAGATTTGTGAACGATAATGGTTACAATTTCTGCACTATGATGTATTCGAGCTCTTATTGGAGAGGCGTACTCTGAACCCGTTCACCCTTTGCCTGATGAGGCCGATTGGATAATTCTAGAAGAAATAATCTCAAGAATTGTTTTGCCGCCACCATCACGACGTCCAAGGGGCAGACCTACAGTCGAACGGAAAAAATCGGCAGGTGAGCCTCGAACAAAATCAAGCAC